GAAAGAATAACAGGAGGAATCTAAAGAACCGTGGCTGGCTGCATTGAGAGCTTTGAGATAAGCTGTGATTTTAAGAGCATATATAAGAAACAGAGGGAGAGATAAATAATAAAGGGGTAGCACAAATGAGTAGCCAATATTTGTAGAAAAGTAGTCAAGAGGACTGAAGTTTAGAATGAGCTCAGGCTTCCCAAAGAGCTTAGAAATGATTTTTAAAAAAGCTTTTTTAGGCTTTGCTCAGAGCAAGAGGAAGAAGAGCGAGGTAGGAAACTGCAGTGAACAAAGTGAACAGAAATGCTAGTTAGTGGGAAGCAGAGAAAGTAGAACTGCTTAACACTTACTTTGCTTGCCTCTTTTTGCAAAAGTAAAAAAAAAAGTGCTCAACCTTGCTCAACCTTGCATAAGTGGGAGGCAGAGAGAAGAAATCCTGCTCAAAGTAGATGAAGAAGTGTCATGGGAACACTTAACCACTTTAAATTAATTCAGATCTCCAAGGCCACATGAACTGCAGCCAAGGGTACTAAAAGAACTAACAGATGGAGTCTCAGAGCTTTACTCTGAAATTCTTGAAGAACAGATGAAGTTCCTGATGACTGGAGGTGGGCAAATTATATTCTGTTATCAAGCTGGAAAAACGTGGGCTAGACCATCAGGTGAACTTACACTTGGCTGATGAGCCATATTGAAAGAGTGCTGAATTCCTTGTCATCCTGGATATAATTGGAATGCTGGTGGGTTCCGGCCCAGTGTTATTCAACATTTTTACAAATATCTCCAATGAAGGAGTAGAAAGGATGCTCATCAATTCTTCAGATGAAACCACACTGTAAATGGTGGGTTCTGTTTTAAAATGATGTTAACAGACTACAAAACTATGTCACAACAAGCAAAACAAATTTCATCAGGAAAAAAGTCAATTTCTATACGTAGGCAGGAAAAAATTGAAAATTAAATGTAGGATGGCTGACATGTGCTTTGGCAGTGGTACATGCAAGAAGGATCTAGTGTTTTAGTAGGCTACAGAAGAAACATGAATCTACAGAACAAAAATTAACGATATTTAAGGTTCAATAGAAGTAGTAGTCAGATAAAAGGAATAATTACACCACTCTATACTGTTGTGGTCAGAATGTACAGTGGGGTCTTGACTTGAGAACTTAATCCATATTGGAAGGCGGTTCTCAAGTCAAAAAGTTCTCAGGTCAAATCTGCATTTCCCATAGGAATGCATTGAAAACCATTTGATCCGTATCTGCTCTTTTCTGTCCATAGAAACTAATGGGAAGCTGCTATTCCGCCTTCGACCACTAGAGGGGGATATTTTGTTTCTTTTTTTCTTAGGTCAAGAAAGGTTCAGGGAAGGCAGGGAAAATACAGTCCAGGCAGTACAGTACCAGGCAGTCTGAAGACTGTCTCCCAATCCACTCTCTAAATGCTGGGAGGAGTGAGGAAGCAGACAGGCACCCTTTTCACTGGCCAACAGTTAACTGAAAGTTCAAATTTTGCACTTTCCCTGCCTCCCACGTGGTTTTTTCAGTTCATAACTCAAATCTAAGTACATAAGTCAAGTCAATATTTTCCTGTGAGAGCGGTTCGTAAGTCAAAATGTTCGTAAGTCAGGCCATTCGTAAGTCAAGACCCCACTGTACCTGGAATACTGTGCCCCATTCTGAATAATTAAAGAAAATATTGACAAGCTGGAACATGTCCAGAGGAGGGCAATCAAGAAACCAAGCCCTATAAGGAATAGTTGAGAGAGAATGGTGTGTTAAATTTTGAGAAGATACAACTGTTGAAAGGTTTGATGAAGAAAATGGAGCACGTTTCGTGCTGATCCACATGGTAGGACTGGAATGAACGGATTCAATTTATAAGAATGGAGATTTTGACTATACATGAGAAAGGACTTCTTGACAGTAAGAAGAAAAGTTCTTATGGCAAAACAAATGTTAAGATCACTAAAGGTAAAGGTAAAGGTTCCCCTTGACAATTGTTGTCCAGTCGTGTTCGACTCTAGGGGGTGGTGCTCATCCCCGTTTCCAAGCCATAGAGCCAGCGTTTGTCTGAAGACAATCTTTCTGTGGTCACATGGCCAGTGCGACTTAGACACGGAACGCTGTTACCTTCCCACCGAGGTGGTCCCTATTTATCTACTTGCATTTGCATGCTTTCGAACCGCTAGGTTGACAGGAGCTGGGACAAGCGACGGGAGCTCACTCCGTCATGTGGATTCGATCTTACGACTGCTGGTCTGACCCTGCAGCACAGGCTTCTGCGGTTTAGCCCGCAGCGCCACCACGTCCCCTGATCACTAAAAAGTTACAAATAATATGAGCTTTTGAATGTTGATGTATGTTTCATCAGGCAAAGATGGTATAGAACCATGGAGTTGGAGCAAACAGTCCAAAAATGGGGCCAGATGTAAGGACCACAGCACACGAAGTCAAACTGCTGGGGCAGCAAAATGGAGTTTTAGATTCATGTGAGAAAGAGATTACAAAGATATAAATTTGCAAGCTCTCTGCTCCTTACTCCCCCTAGAATTGCCCATTGCCTTAGACAAGGCTACAGATCTCAGCTGTAGGCTTGGAGCAGAAAGCCACAGAGCTGGTGTCAGTCTTTAGCAAAATAGGAAAATACACTTAGGTTGTGCACAAGGTTAAAAAAAAACAATTAGAGCCAAATTGCCTGTCATACCTAGCAGCCAGAAGAGATGGAATCCCCACTGGAGTTCCATCTCATACACAAACCTCTTGCCATGGCAGCAGAATTTCTTCCAGAAGGCACATCATATTTTCAACAGCAAATCCAAAAAGTAGCTGTGTTCTATCCATTCACAGAAGCAAAGTTCTAGGTTGGGCAACATATTTACTGAAGTATTAAAACAAAGAAGACCTAAGGATTTCTAACCTTTAAATGGTGAAATAAAGATACTACCCAGCTATGAATCTTTCTTCTAAGCATGCATCACATGGCTACTTCTTATACTGATTCTAAGAGCTGTCTGCCAGTAGAATTGATGAATATGCAAGGCGTCGGACTCTTCACTGGCAAGTTTTAAAGGAAGGTTAGCTGGTGATCTATCAAGGATGCTTTAGCTATAGATTTCCTACATCAAAAATGGATTGGGGAAAAAAATTACCCTTGTGATTCTTTCCAAATCTGTCATTCTATGATCCCACAACTTTGATGAATTTACTGAAGTCATTTTTCTTATTGAATATTTTAGAATAGTTTCCACTTCTATATGACTGAGACAGACTGAAATTGGGAGGGAGGGAGTGCTAAAGGTGCAAGAGGGTCTGGAAAGTGAATGTGGAAAGTGTGACACAAGGAACGTGTAAGGACAGGCTGAATACATTCTGAAAAAGGCTACATTTTTAGAACCACAGTGCCAAAAGAGGATTCAATTTGAAATGTAAATGCCTATTAAAATGATTGCTAAATGTCCAATTTATTTAAATGAACTCCAATTTAAATGTAAGAAGTAATACTATGCCATGTTTCCCTGGTATTAGGATAAGCATTGTGGATAAAGGTGATTTCTTGTTTCAAACTAGTGAATTTACTATTATTAGCTTGTCCGCTATCATTTTATAATAGACCAGTAAAACTACACACACACACACACATATATACACATACACAGCTTGTCTAGAATTAATTTATTGCTCAAATCCAAGCGTTGCAAAGCACATGGAAATAAAAATACTGGTCCAATTTTGAATGATAATAAAGTGTCAAGGGATTAAAACTGTGTGCAGAAAAGATTAGGAAAGTGGGCTACTTGTGCAAAATAATTATTAGGGTTTATTTAAGCCCCGATTTCTAAATATTCTTTACCTGAACAAATGTGTGTGTGTGTGTGTGTGTGTGTGTGTGCGTGCGTGCGTGCGTGCGTGCGTGCGTGCGTGCGTGCGTGCGTGTGCATGCTTGTGTGAATGGTGTGTGTGTGCGCGCGCGCGCATGTGCATGCTTGTGTGAATGTTGCTTTTCATTAGTGGACATCACATACAGGTTTAAGCACCAGGTAGTATATATTTATTTTTCACAGATGGAATACGAGTCTTAGAAGGACAAGGCATTCTAGATTTAATCAAAACAAAAAAGTCAGGTTAAAAATATATGAACAAAAGACCTCCAAGATCAGACATTACTTTCAAAAGGAATTCAGTTTTCTATGTAGGTTATCATAATTGTTCACCCTTACCAAATGTCCATTTAGCTTCTCTCACTGAAGACAGTCACATATATGTAGGGATATAGAGGCCAGAATATGAAAGGACCAACAGAGTCCTTTGCTGGTCCTTTCATCACCAACTGTGATATGAGGGACAAAAAGCAATCTGTATCCAATGAATGAGGTCCCCAAAGCTTTCCTAGCAACTGTCGTTGTTTAGTCGTGTCCGACTCTTCGTGACCCCATGGACCAGAGCACGCCAGGCCCTCCTATCTTCCACTGCCTCCTGGAGTTGTGTCAAATTCATGTTGGTCGCTTCTGTACATATACCTTAAATGTTGGCAACTGTACATATACCTTAAATTTTTCTATCAGAAAATTATTTGCAATACTGACATTTCTAGGATGTTAGCAAAGTCAATGGCCCTATTAGCAGTTACTTTCCCAAATGGAAATAAATTAGGCTTCATTAACATTTAAAAGTATTATGAATTAAGAGGTGTTGTGTGGCTTACATTCATCAGTATGGAATCCTCACATTCACTCGCATTGGAGACACAGCTGTATTTTTTAGTACACCAGTAACACTTCCATTTAGCTGAGAGGCAGTTGATACATCTGAAACATACAAAAGGTACCTACACTTACTAATTAATGCAAGTGTAATTTACAGGCTCTTTTCTGTAACTGTATAAGTTTGCACATGCTTCATTATGTCCTAATGACCCATTAATTCACAATACACTGACATGCTTCATTATGTCCTAATGACCCATTGATTCACAATACACTGGGTTTTTTTATTAATCCCTCTGTTACTGGGTTTTTTTTTTGTTTTGTTTTTTTGGTAATCCCTCTCTGTTATTTTTATGTGAGGTGGGAAACCTAGAAGTTCTTTTGCCTATCTACTTACACTCTATCACATCTGTTTCTGAGTGACTTTTCTTATCCATTGTTTCAGAGTTTTTTTTACAGGAAATACTCTGCTTTCACAAGTACACAGATGTAATTTTGCCCTTAAAGGACAGTCAATAAAACTGGCTTTGTGTAGATACCTGACACCACCCACTGCTGCCTCCTCCACTGCTTATTTTATTCATAGACAAAGAAATGTTCTAACTTTATGGCAAAGTTGTCCAAATTGTTAAAATGGATCATAAAATATGTGTCTTTCCTTTACAGTTCATGTCACATGACATTAACTAGGTAAAGTTACTGTTAAGTGTTTTTAGTGTGTATCTGTGTGTCTATACTTATTGATAGCTACCGCGATGGCATTAGAAAGATTTGCAAGCATACTTATTGGGTTTACAGTATATACAACCCTCTCTGTTGCTATATGGAACCCCTGCTACTAAAACTAGAAGAAATATTTACTCTTGTGCAGTGCCAAAGCATTAAGCAGTTTGGGAAGAATATGTCTAGTGTCTCTTATTGTTTCTGTGAAATTTGTGTCAACTCTTGAAATCCATAAACTGAACATATTCTGAATGAGGTAGTCAAACCTACTCAACTTCTGTCCCTGACGGTTAGACTTAGCGAATAAATAGTGTCTTGTTTTGTGTCTCACGATGCATGTAATAGAAAAAACAGTGTGGTCTTCTCTCAGCTTTAATATTACTTTTTCACTCCACCTAAATTTCACTTATTATAACTATCTCTCACTGAAAAACAAAAGTAGCTAGGCAATTCATGGATAGAAATGTAACACTGGGCTGAGTAACAACTTTACTGGATCATCAGAAAGGTACTGACCAGACAAAGTTTGGGTTCTCCAGAATTCCTCTCCATGTTTAGATGGTATAAAATTGAGGGGATGGAGCAGAAATAAAAAGCTGCCCCATAAACTTGTGATCTGATGTAATGGCTGCTATACTTGAGGGGAGACTGAATTGTGAAATGTAGATTGGAGGTTTTTTGCCCACGTGCCACCACCAGCATCTCTAAAAGTCTAAGTAGTTTCCACAGACCTGTATGAGCTGTGGCACCCGAGGTCAACATATTTGCTGAGCCTCCAGAAATTGACTTCTGTTCTCTAATATATGCTGCTTTTCTCCTGAGAATTAAGCAGAACTCTGAGGGTTAAACACCAAGCTTTCAGATTAAAAACATTATTCATGTTTTAGACATGTATATGGAAAAAAATGCCAAAAGCCATCAAAATGTCCAGATGGTCTGAAATGCTCTAAGACCCTTTCTCTGCAAACCTTGGCAAGCAGTGCCATCTTTCCTGCCAAGTCCCACCCAGTCCCCAAAATATCTGGTTGATAACAATGTAGTTTTGCTTAATTAACCCTCTAGAATATTTTTTGCTCCATATGATCAATGCACGTGTTTTTTTTAAAAAAAGTTTGCCTAATTCACAGCATTTCCCCTACTTTTAGAGAAAGAAGGTGAGAAATAAAAGGATTTTCCAACCCTAGATTCTGATGCAGTTCACAGTCAGGCAAGCTACTATTTGTCAAGCCACCTGCCATCTCCTCTCCACTGTAATTTACTTACGCCGTCTTTGGATAAATGTTTCCAGTTCTCTTGCAATCATAGATAGTGAAATTGGCCCACACAATATTTTTGCCGTTGACCCGAACAGCAGTTTGAACAATCACATGGTCTGGAAACATACAAACAAAAAACAAGTCACAAGAGAGTTGTTTTCATATTTTTCAAGACAAGATAAATGCCTGGAGGGGGAAGAACACTTAAAACTCTTTTTTTTCCCCATAAGACAAAGCTTGTCAGAGTTTCTCCTCTACTTTCTTCCACCCCATCAAACTTTACAAAAATTAATTGCTCAAGTCAGGAATGGGAAATTGCAGCCTATTTCCATAAATTGTACCGTTTATATTAATGAAATGTTTGTCATTAATATGACTAAATTGCTTGCTTATATATGCACTGTACCAATGCAACAGCACTTGAATGTTCATGAAGCAGAGGAAACTGAAAGCTGGGCCTGTAATGGGTGCACTGCTAAGCATGTGTACTGTAGCAGTGTGTCTTCACAACACCTTGTTTAGGGAGGCAACTCCCTAACAAAGCGAGGGAATGGGGCTTTTCTTTAGGTTAAGGCCTGCTCCACCATTCCTCTTAACATTCAATTAATTTCAAAACTTCTTACTTGTACAGTATCTTGTTTTACTCTGTTTGATGTTTGTGCCTTTTCCCACCATTCTTCTTTTCTTCTTCTTTTTTTTCCATACCCCTAAATGTCCTGGTTCATATAGGTACTCCAGGTTTCAAATCACTGCTCTACATGATACTGGACTGCAATTCTGAGTATTCCTCACCAAAGGCTGTGCTATCTCAGGCTGACTGGCATCACAATCCAACAGCCTCTGGAGGGCCACAACTCGTACCCACCCCTGCTCTACAGAGCAAGAAAAGCTGAAATGTTTTCCTTTGGACATGGCCAGTATTTTGTGGGTGACATTTGGTATGAACATTAATATATCTCTGAAAAACTATTTCATTACTATATCATTTCACAATGATATGCTAGCAGGAGACCCAAGGATTCTGCAACCTACAGATTTCGAGATTTTGCCCTGAACTAGAGTGGTCCAGCAGCAGCTCATGCCAGCATATAAAGCTATTCCCATACAAACCTGGTACTGTTAATTACAAAGACACATATAGATGGAGGTTTAAAATGGGCAGAATTAACACACTTTGCCCTTCTGTTCCATCTTTTATTTCTAAAAGAAATGATTTCACTGAACTAAACCAAGTAAATTGAAGCAACTGAAGCTACTACATTTAAACTCAGGTTCACTATACCCTCTACAGTCAGCTCCATTTTTAAAAAAATCAATGGCTTATTAAAATCAATATTTTAACTAGCACTCTCATAGCCTGGCTAAAATGCAGGTGAAAAATTCCACTATCATAAATCCAAGAGTGTAAATTTCAGCAATGAATCTCTGCTAGTTAAGAAGTGGTCATTTGTATTTCTTGAAGTCGTGTGACTTGTGTGCAAAGGAATCTTCAACTGTTTCTGTGTTTTTTAAATATTAAAATTCACATCTCCCTTCAACAATGCTGCAATTTGGGTCAGGGCCTAGGTAAGCCTGAGACACACCTTTCTCAAGCCACTTTCTGGAGACAAATAGCAGGACAGTATTTATTTAACATTTTAAAAGTTTATTTATTGAAATGTTTTTTTAGTTGGAAAAAAATGTGTATAACTAAAACTGTGTTGCTCCGTGCAATTCAAGGGAGAAATGTAAAAGCAAAATACCACTTAACACAAAGAGTGTTACAATGCTCTTCCAGTCACTGGCTTTTTACAGGTATGTTAATGGAGGAAACAGAACATATGTTAATAAATTATTATTTTTTAATTAAGGTATAACCACATAATTCTATAAACTGTCATGTACTTCTATAATGTTATAAAGCAAATTTGAAAACTTAAATTAAATCTTTTTGGTCACCAATACTAACCAACTTGCTAAAAATAGTGATGGTTGGAAAAGTTGTTTTTCCTACCCGTCAGTTAAATGGCATTTCATTGTTATTTCAATGTTTGCTTTTAAAACAAGATAACCAGAAATGTGTTCTTGCACTACTTGAAAACCCAAATATGAGTGATGAAACTGTATACTGTTAAATTGTAAAGGTTATATGAAATGCATGATGACATATCACCTGTCCAATAACTTACTGCTCATGTGAAATCTATGGCTCTACCCAAAAAACCAAGGGTAGACCTTAAAAAGAGCACATGAATGTTAATGGACTAGCATTACATCTCTTACTTTTTCAAACAAATGACCCCAAATATTATCAATAAATATGCTGGTACTAAAACAAGAGTCTAAATGTAAAATATAAATGTAAAAAACAAGACTGTAAAAGTAACATCTATCCCCATTTGTGTTGTTAAACATAATTATTTATTGTTATGCTCTCTGTGTGGGGCATATGAGTTTATACACTCCCTCAAAACAACAAACTTACTAATAAAAAAGAAAATCTTTATTGGAGAAGAGCTTTGAATGTGAATGGTTTTGCTTAAGAGGGGGACCGTGTAAATTCTTCAACAGAAAATTAGAATACAATAAAATTACAAATATGAAATTAAATTTTAAATATTTGCTAGTTGCTTACCTTGATTGGATGGGAAGGGTGGATATTTTTCTCTGGGAAGAAAATTGCAGTAAACAAATTGGTTCCAAGATTGTGCAGCAACTTTAGCTACCGTCTGGATATTATTTCCATAATCACAAGACATCTCCATTCCATTCAGACTTGGAATATTCCCATTTATTTGGATGATCATGCCCTAAAAGTGGACCAAATAATGATAATAAAAATTGGGAAGTAGATGATTTGTTGAAGTTTAAATCTCATTGACCAATGTGGTTAGGAAACAAGATGGCAAAATGTGGTCACTTAATTCATTTTATTTTTAAAAATTATTATTATTATTATTCAAAAACACCAGGCACAGTCAATCAAAATTGTAAAAACATTGACTGATATTCTGGAGGTTGAGTCCAGAAAAAGTGGAATTTTTTTCTTGTTAGGTTGAAATGTTTCACTAGCTTCTTCAGCCTGAGGAGACTTGGTAGGAGATGCCTGATACATCTTCCACATTGGTTTTACTTTCTCCTGGTCTGAATAGGCAGGTTAGAAGGACAAAGGACTGGGGGTGAGGGATAATCCCACTTCTCCAGTCCTTCTCCACCCATTGTCATGGGTCATTAACAGTCATGAATTAACAGTCTTTCTGGTGTGTGTGGTCCTAATCTTTCTGAGGATGGATGAAAGGGCAGCATGATAAATAAGAGACAGATTGCATCTAAGGCCTCCAGTCCTGCTGAGTGAGGGATTTTTTACATGTGCACATAGAAAATTTCTCACAGGGTAGAAGCCTTAGAGGCAAATGAACTCCTGGCCACTTTTCTCCTCAAGATGACCCAAGGCAGCTTACAATGGTAATACAGACAATACTAAAAAGTCAAATAAATTACAACTATTACAATATTTAAAACCAATTAAATCAGCATTCTATTGTTTGAAAATAATTTCAAACAAATTTTAAAAATACATTAAAAATGAAAATATGTAACAGTTGTGTTTTTAAAGTTCCCTCATACATAGCTAGTTACAGAAGAAAACCACTTTGTAAGAGAAAGATCTTTGCCTGTTTGTGGAAGGCCAGCGTGACCTCCCATGGGATGCAATGTAAGGCATACCATAGGTCGCCATGAAGGATGCAAACATAGTCACATTGTACAAGTACAAAGGAGACAGGGGTGACTGCAATAACTACTGTGGCATCTCTCTTCTCAGCATTGTCGGGAAGCTGCTTGCCCGTGTTGTGCTGAAGAGGCTCCAGGTGCTTGCAGACAGAATCTATCACAGTGTGGATTTCATGCTAATAGATCCACCACTGACGTGGTATTTTCTCTCAGACAGTTGCAGGAGAAATGTAGAGAACAACAACAGCCACTCTTTGTGGCCTTCATAGGTCTCACAAAGGCCTTTGATTTGGTCAGCATGGATGGTCTTTTTAATATACTTCCCAAGATTGGATGTCCATCTCGACTCCTTAATATCATCAGGTCCTTTCATGAGGGAATGAAGGGTTCTGTAGTTTTTGATGGTTCAACATCAGATCCCTTTGACATGCAAAGCAGAGTGAAACAGGGCTGTGTCTTCGCACCAACACCTTTTAGGATCTTTTTTGCTGTCATGCTGGAGCGTGCTTTTGGAACTGCAACAGAAGGTGTCTATCTCCGGAATAGATCAGATGGAAAGCTCTTTAATCTCTCAGACTGAAAGCAAAGACCAAAGTCCAACTGAAATGCATGCGGGACTTCCTGTTCGCCGATGATGCAGCCATTGTTGCCCATTTTGCTGAAGACCTCCAAAAACCCATGAATCATTTTAGCAAGGCCTGCCAGGACTTTGGACTAACAATCAACCTGAAGAAAACACAAGTCATGGGCCAGGGCGTGGACTTACCTCCCTCTGTTACTATCTCCACGCAAGAATTGGAGGTTGTTCATGACTTTGTGTGCCTTGGCTCAACTATCTCTAATACTCTCTCCCTAGATGTCGAGCTGGATAAACGAATTGGCAAAGCAGCTACCATGTTCTCAAGACTCACAAAGAGAGTATGGCTCAATAAGAAGCTGATGACATACACCAAGATCCAGGTCTATAGAGCCTGTGTCCTGAGCACACTCCTGTACTGCAGAGAGTCCTGGGCCCTTTGTGCATAGCAGGAGAGGAAGCCGAAAATCTTCCCTATGCATTGTCTCCGATGCATTTTTGGTATCACCTGGCAGCACAAAGTTCCAAATAGAGTA